GGAATTTCCTAGAATGTTCACTCCTCTGAAGACTAACTATTGTCATTATGCTTTCCACTTGTGAATATTTTCTTTCTGTAGAATACTGACCTTCAATTGGTTTAAAATGGACATTTATTTCTACACAACAAAATGAGCTAATGAGGTATATAAATAGCTTTTTTCAGCATTTCTATCTTCTTCCTTGTGTTAACACACACCTGTAAGCTCCAAAGCAACAAAACTGCCCTGAATTTTATAAAGGTGATTACTGATGATGATTAAGATCAGGTGTGTTAAATACTCTCCTAATTGTCACACATTGCCTTTGCACTTACGCTAGATAATAATAACATGGTTGGTTGAAGTTACAGTATACACACTTAGGCTAGATAATAATAACATGGTTGGTTGAAGTTATACACAGTAGGGGTGTCTCAATACCAGTTTTTCTCAGAGTATGAGTATGAGTGCTTCCGTTTGGGTACTCGCCGATATCAAGCACCAATACCGAGTATTTACTGAGTTAGAACCTATACATTACACCAGGGGTGCCCAACCTTTATTGAACCAAGAGCTACTTTTGAAGTTGGCAATTTGTTGAGATCTACTCATCCAGTCTCAGTATCAAAAAACATAATTTTTTCGTCTCCTTACTCCTCACTTCTTTAAAGTAAATAAAACAGAATGTAATGTGTTGCTAGTTTTATTTATTTTAAAGTATTGTTAAACAAAACTATCTACTTAACCATATATTTACCTACAAAAAAAGAAAAGATAAAATCCTTACTTAACTCCTGACAGAGAAAGAGAATAGTGATGCTCAAACTTTTTTCAAGGTCAAAGCACACAATATAAAACTTTCTTGTTTCATCATATTACAAAAAGTGACTTAAGATGGTGCAGATTCACAAATCTCCAACAACTATTTCCAACCTCCATCTCTGTGCAGCATGCAGGATGCATGTCATCTGCAGGAGTTGAAGATCTCAGTCCCTCACTGGTCCAGACTGCTGGCTCCAAAGGGTCATTTAAAGAGCTCCACCTGTTCACCACCTATCAGAAAAGACACAAACACATAGCCACATTAGGTAGAGAAAACAAGGCCACACCCAAACTGCTAAATAAATAAATAAATAAATAAATAAATAAATAAATAAATAAATAAATAAATAAATAAATAAATAAATAAATAAGTGTATAAGACACATGTCTGGTCTAAAAAGCTGACTCAAGTTCAAAGCACTTCTTCTGATGGTGGGATACATTTCCTCTGACAGCAGACTCCAGAACTCTCCATCCATGCGACTTGTTGCTCTGGATTTGATCCCAATCTCATTTTTTGCAGAGTCAAAACCTCATTTTCAACACCAGAGCAGTCCAGCAGAAACACGGACACGAATTTGGACACATCCATCCATCCTGGTGGACAAYTGCACGCCTTTATAGCAGCCACAATTTCACTTTTATTTTTAAAATCACGGAAAAGCACGTCTGCAGCATCAAAAGCTTCTTTAATAACTTCGTCATCCCTGAAAGATGTTTTTTGTGTTGAGCCAGGACGGGGCTGCATTAGCAGCCTTACCTTTGCTTTGGTGTTGGTGCGAGTGAAAATGGATGCTGTGCTGCAAAGCTTGTTTTCAGCTCGTCTGAGCTCGGTTTAGGAGGGGAAATCCGCCTCATAGCGTCTGTGCATTGTTTTGAAAGAAATGCTGTTCCACGTTATCCTTTTTGGACAAGCCAAGGCAGTGCTCGACTTACATGTGAGTCCTCTTCCCACTCCAGGTGAAAATAATAAGTTTTTATTTGCTTGTTAGCTGTCTTTCGTTCATTTTTTTCCCCCTCAAGATCATGTTTGGAGTGCTGTTTCACAACACCTATATCTCGCGAGGCTGGTCACGTCTACAAGACGGGGAGGACGAGGGGGAGCACGTTCAAGAATGCAATGTTAAATAAACATTGACAAGGGTGCGTTCAAAAATGCAATGTTAAACAAACAAACATTGTATTCTACAAGAGTACATTCAAGGCTGCAATGTTAAACAATGTTGCGTTCAACTAGCTCCGTGATCCATTGCTCTGTGATCTACTGCTGACCAGCTAAAGATCGAACGGTCAATCGCGATCGAATGGTTGGCCTGGCCTGCATTACACGATGACCTTAAAAACACATTTATGTTATTTAGATCAAGGATGGGCAACTTAAATGATGGAAGGGGCAACAAGTTTTTGTTGACACTACCTGAGGGAACTACAGAACTTCACACTTACCCAAATGTAATAAAACTACAGATTGGAAACAAATGTTTGTAATTAAGCCAACATGCAGTGCAGTAACTTAACATATTTCATGCTTAAATGCCATTGCCTATTAAATATGAATACAAAAAGCAAACAAAAATGTAACACTTGGTATTGTTATTAGTATTGGTAAAAAGGGATGGGTAAAAACTCAAATGAGCAGGAGCCTCATAAGTGGACCAATTACTCTCCCCAAAGAGACACTGAGCTTTTAATCAAAGCTTTGTGTTCCTTGGAAGGACACCAGTGGGTATCTATACCAGTATTGCAAACTGAGATATATGCACCAAATAAAACACTTGCTTTTCAACAAGCTAAAGTGCAATGACATAAAATGCCTTGAGTGAAGACTCCTGATAGGTTCTGGTAAAAAGTTGCTGTTTTTATGTACTTGTGACTTCAGTAAACTTCTCATATTTAGCTTTGTGCAACATGTTGTAGTGGCAATTAAAGCCCTTCATGGCAGACAGCATCTCTAAGCAGAATAAACACAATGATTTACCTTGAAATTTTGTGGAGTCTACCTCCCATTTCACATGAAACATGTGATTGTATCTGTCCAGTTTTCTTTCCTCTGTTCTTAGTCATGAATAAACATCTCTTCCTCACTGCTAGAGAAGACGTGTGCCCGAGGTGGCATCTGCGTTGGAGGCACCATCTGGTGGCAAAATGCATCAATACAACTAATTGAGTGCCAGTTTTATACATTTTTGTAGTTTTTAAATAATTAAGCGCTGCTTTGCGTGCTTTTTTCGTTTTTATTTCCACTGGGCTTAATTGGCAGGTTGGACAGAATTCACTGGTCACCATTTGCCCATAACTGATTTAGAACAACCAGATCAAACACACAGCATGATATGCAGTGTTGCAAAAGTTAAAGATAAATGAAAACAACAACAAAGATTTTTTTTATTTGTTTACCTTTCTTAAACAACTGACAAATTTTTCACTTGAAATGTCCACTGTAACACGTTCAATAGAGTATTGAAATAGTATCAATGCTGATATTTGTACCAGTTTTGAGTATGGTATTATGTACAAGTACTTGTAAAAATGCTGGTATTGGACCTGAAATCAATACCAGTGTTAGTATCTGGATACCACTAATTTACAGTATAACAATTTTAACATTTGGTCTGGACCTGATTAGTTTTTATTGCTCTAAACCTTACAAGACCTTAGACATGAAAAGTTCTGCATTTTATGTCTTCCAAGAATACTCTCTGATAAACCCTTGCTGTTCATCTTCTGGACATTTCTCTTAGCACAGTGTCTACATGGTAAAATGGAAATGTCTGTCTCCAGCATGAGCATCAGAGCACTTTATGTTCACGACGCTCCGCTAATCTTATATTGTCAGAACAAGGGCTTTTTGTTGTTATTGCTTCAGTGTAGCCTGTATGTCCTGAAGGACACAACTACAAAAATGGATTTTATGGTTGGAGCTTATGACTGAATTCACTGGCCTTTAAAGTCTCCGTTGGTTTGCTGCCTGCATCATAATATTTGTCCTCATCTGACTTAATGCAAGCATACCAAAGAATCCTCAACTCGTCACAGTTTTCCTAAGGGCTGATTAAACAGTAGACAATTCAGGACAGACCTCAATAACAAAAAGGGGTAGCTCAGCTCTTTAAAGTTAGGGTTTTGAGAAATGTTATGAAAAGCCATGCAGATATAATAAACGATTGATTTTAATCACTTTTCACAAGAAATTAAGCATTATTTCCAAGAGCTTAAACAAATTAACTAGCTCTGTATGTATAAGATGTTTCCATGAGGAATAAAAGCAGTCACTTGTTGGATGAAATGAACATGTCCTTTCATGAGTACTCTGTCAGCTGGTTGGATATTAAAAAGCCCAGCAGTAATCTGTTTCTATAAGCCAAAGGACTTCTATAAGCCCGAGAAACGAGACAGTGGCATCATCCCCCTCCAGTTTGAACAGCCACAGATGTTTGCGCCGCCTCCCCTTCTTTTCCACAAACCCTGAAGCATGTGCTCACATGCTCCTCTGTCAGAGCGACAGCCCAGGGCCAACAAGGATGAGACGATCATTTACTCTCTCAGACCTCAGCTTTAGTCCCCAAGGATTCCTCTGAACCTGGTTAAAAAGACCTATTGCTCAAGTGGGAAAAACAAACAAATGTAGTTTGGAATCGTGTGGGAAGTTAATTTGGGATCAGTGGGTATTTTATGTGACGGAGAACTCCAGTTGTCATTAGACTTCATAGAGAGAGAATAAGTCTGAACACCACAAATATGAAACRCAAACTTTTTTTAAGAAACAGCATTTGTACGTGCAGTGGCGCAGTAAATGCGGTGAGCAATGAGTACGCCATACCATCAAATGAATTAAACCGCAGGAGAATTACTTTGTGTTCAGATTATGTGACAAGACTCACATATGACAAATTAGATTAGCATCCCTGCTATCATTTATTGACTTTATGGAAATGATGAAACTTTGTGTTCAAATGGCAGCTGTAGGAAAACAATTATGTACTTGGCTTGACTCATTATGTTTGTGACCTTTGTTTTATTCACAAATTAAACTGTCAAGAATTACGAGGGGAAATGGACCTTTTACCAATTGACGCCATCACACAAATCACGCATGAAATTAATGTTTTGATTGGATGCCGAAATGCTGACTCCTCCCATCTACGGAAGTTGTGTGTGTGTGTGTGTGTGGGGGGGGGGGGGGCTTGTTGATGAAGGCAAGTTTTAATGTCGATGCTTTGTTTCGGAATATTGTGGACAACCATGGACAAAATCCCTGATAAATGTGCCGCGGATCCGAGAGGACGTCATTTTGAGGCAACTGTCGGGGGGGGGGGCACCGTGTCAAAAAAGACAATCGCCGAAAAAAGGACATTGAAGTCGGCGAGATCATGCCCAGCAGAGTAAGTTTGTTATTCTTGTTCTTGTCTTATTTTCATCAATCTTTTGACTCAAGCATCAGAATGGAAGTTTAAATGCCAAATCTAGCTGAACTTTAGGCTGATTTGGTTATTGTTACATCGTCGATTAACCTCTATAGCCTAGCGCCGGGTGTTCATTCGAGCCATTACTATTCACAGAGTCATGTAAACAAAGCCATTGGATTAGCGTCAATCTCTCACATAAATGTTCATAGCATCCTTATTTCTTATCCTATTTGTGTAAACTACAGCTTAAATAAAAGCTGAGAAAATTGTTGATGTTGTGATATGTAAAAATAAGTATTGTCCCAAGAGATACACATAAGCTTTATAGGAATTTTTTATTATAGGTTTTACTAACGTGTTTGCTACAGCTCAGACTGTATTTGATGGAAAATTTGATGTGTATAAAAATTATATTAGTTAAAAGCAATATTTCTTACCTGGCTTTTTTTTTTTAAATAATGACAAATTCAGTATGGCTGTAATGAATTTGGTGTAGTGAATTTTCTTGCAGACAAGGGGGTGGCTGCAATCATGTGCCCGCACTACTGTTTGAGTTGGAGCAATATCAAGCTTGTGGTGGAACTACAAAGTAAGCCAACCTGCACCCAGTCGCCTTGTTCATAGAGGGGACGAGCCCAAAAACGAACTGCCTAATAAACTACTTGTGAAGAGCAGCAAATGTTAAAGTGAGTCGAATAATAAGTTATTTTTAATCTATTTGAAATTATGCTAATAACACAAATACCCAAACAAGCGATTTGAAGTCAGAAACTCTATCACAACCTGTAATAATAAAATTACACTTGATAAAAATTTATTACAAATTAACTATTTCATGTTTTAAACGTTTTCTACATATTTAATCTCTTGTATATTTCTTAGTCATTATTTTGATTGACTTCTGTTTTATCATATTTGTATGAACTTATTGATGACATAAATGACATTTTTATGCAGGTGTCATTTAAGGCATGAGATCGGCGTGGAGAAGGTCTCCTGGAAAACGTTGAACAGCCTGGCTTTTGACCCACGACATCCTGACGACTGGAATGAAAACACCACTGCTGATATTGGACATTTGGAGTGTGGAAACTTCTTTGCCATTTTGCAGGTTGGTGTTGTATACTTTAAAAAACCAAAAACACTTAGTTTAAGTTTTTTTGAACTTCTTTTATTTTTGCCTTTGTTTTCACATTTTATGCATTGTTGGATTTCAGGTATGCCGTGCCTCTGGTTGCTGTGCCAGATCTTGACCCTCAACCAGATGATGCAGCTGATGACTTAGGCCCGAGTCCAGTCTCCATTGACACCATCAGAGAGGCCTGCAAGAAGTTCAAGCATCTTTAAAGGTCACACATAAACAGAAGCTGGTCTGACTGAAGCACAAACACGCAAGCAGAGCTCAAGTGAAGAATGGTTTCAAGAATGTTTCTTGAAAAAATGTGAAGTTCTGCTGCTGTTTCTTCACACTGTTACGTTTTTTTCTTTAGGAAAATGTTTTTGGTAAAATTAAAAGCTGCCTTCTCAAAATGCTTTTTATTATTTCTATTGTATTTTAAAGTTCAGTTTTGGAACAAGAACAGTTATTGTTTGACAAAATAAATGAAGTGAGTGACCAAAGTCATAATAAATAGAGCTAAAGTGTTACCTTGCACCTGGGTGCTTGGAAGAGAGTCTGGTAAGCACAGGTGTGTATGATGTCCTGAAGGACTGGGAGCAGGACCATCTCAACACACTCTGCTGAACCAATAGCTGAAGTTCTGCTGTATGCATGATCCAGCTGCTGCAGGTCAGTAGCTGCTGGTAAAATATATATACTGTATATTATTTCTTATTTGATACTGCACAACACTGTCATAAGTATTGATAGACTGTATGTTTATAGACACACATACATGGATGGAAAC